TACTACCACGGTTTGACTTACTTATTTAATGATTAACTCTGATATATCCATCAACACTGAAATATATGATCCAGGACTAGGCATGGTTCAAGTGGTAGAGTACCAAGCCAAGCAGGCAAGCTGAATCCACATTAAGTCCCTGAGTTCAAACCCTAGTACCCAAATACATAAATAAATATTTATTGTAGAACTGGGTGTCAGAGGCTCATGCCTATAATTTCAGCTACTCAGGAGACAGAGATGTGAGGATCTCAATTTGAAACCTGTCCAGGCAGGAAAGTCTCTAGACTCTAATCTCTGAATAGCCAGCAAAAAGCTGAAAGTGGAGCTGTGTTAGTCTTGAGCAGAGTAGCTTAAGGACAGTGCTTAGACCCTGAGTTCAAGTACTGGCACACATACACACACACACACACACACACACACACATGCACACACACACACAAAAGGGAAGAGATATGTTAAGGCTCAAGATAGAAGGGAAGAGTGTACACTTACATGTGCACGGCCCTGGGTTTGATTCCCAGAACATACACACACACACACAAACATGCACACTCACACACACAGTACTTTTAATTCAGACAGAAAAAATGTTCAGAGTTCAAATCCTGGCCCTACCACTTAGGATCTAGGGTTAGGCTAAATAGCAATAGAGGAGAGACCCTACAAACTACCTAGCCTGGTACTTTCAGTGTAAATAAAATGCCGTCAAGTTCCTTGCTGATTAGTGAATAAATTATTGCAAATTGTATGTGCGTGCATGTGTTTGTGTGTTTATGTGTGTGTGTGTGTGTCCTAGAACTGGGGCATCATGTGCTCACTTGGCTTTGTTGACTCAAGGCTGGTACTCTTCCACTTGAGCCACACCTCCATTTCCAAGTTACTGTGTTTTTGATTCCCTTGTTCTATCTGAAAGAACATCTCAAATAGAAAAAAAGAGGCTGCCTGGGTCTAGTAGTAAGACTGTGCTGGATGCAAGAAACAAACACAGTTCATAGCACTTTGAACAAATCAATACAGGCTATTTGTCCTTGCACAGTAGGAGGCCTGGAAGTGGAGAGCTGTTGCTGTGGATGCACTGAGAGGCAGAATCTAGCAACCTCAGGCTGGCTCACAAGATGGTTAGCCCAGGTCCAACCTTTAGGATACCATTGAAATCAGAAATGGAAGAGAAGCAAGTGCTTTTTGTCTTTATTTTGTCAGATAAAGATGGACATTTTGGCCAGGCCAGTGTTGGACTTCGATACTCCTATTTCCACCTTTTGCATAGCTGGATTACAGGAAAACACCACCATACCTGCTGGAGGTTTAGGTGTCTGTGATCAATTCATGTCTTAGAAACAGTTTTGCCAGGCAGCTGAGTATATTGGCTTAGAGTTCGGGCAAGTGGTCTGAGATTGCAAGGGACTGTTCTTCAGGGCGAGTTAAGAGAACTCACCTATGGGGTGTGACATGAGCAAAACAAGGAGAACCAGCCAGACTTCAAAGGAATGCTGAAAGTAGAGCGGGCTGAAGAGACTGGAAAGACAAGAGGAAAAATCAAGAGCTTGTTGACTCCTAGAGTCAAAGGGAGAAAACTATGTAAGGAGAACAAGGTTAGTATCAAGAGTGATCCCCCCCCCCTAAACCAGGAGGCCAATGGTGGCTTTGCCTTCAGCTTCCCCTGTAGTGAGTATAGAAGCCAGTCTAGCCTGAGGGAGGAGGCAGAAAGCAAGGAAAATAGGACACAAAGGTGCCATGCCTATGTGCCTCTGATCATACAACATAAGATTTATTGAAAGGAACTTCAGCAAATGGAAACAAGGTTATTTTCTTTGGTGCAGTTTTCATTTTCTTTTCTTTTTGTCTCATTTTTTGCATTACATGCCTTTGGGAGGGTAAGGAGGGGACACAGACATGGAGGGATAAAGGGTAAACAATTGCAGCAGTGGTCCTCACTGGACACTATGTTGAAAATGAGCTATACAACTTGTGGGTGGGGATGAGAGGGAAAAACTGGGAGAGAACACAAGAGAAGGGGTGACATTGTCCCAAAAGAAATTTACGCATTGCCTGTTGTAGGTAACTGTGTATCGGCTTTATAATAACAGTAAAAATATTTTTTAAAGAAGAATGCAGGAACAAGTTACTTTTGACTTATTTTTGTTTTCTGAGCTCATATTTTATTATATCATCATAGCATAAATTTTTAAAGGAAGAGTGGAGAGAGCTGGGCTGCCAGTGGCTCACACTTATAATCCTAGCTACACAGAAGCTGAGATCTGAGGATTGAGACTCAAAGCCAGCCTGAGCAGGAAAATCTGTGAGACTCTTATGTCCAATTAGCCACAAAAAGCCCAAAGTCAGCTGTGGTTCAAGTGGTCCCCTAGCCTTGGGCAAAAAAGCTCAGAAATGATGCCCAGGCCTTGGCTTCAACCCCCAGGACTGGCACCCCAAAGAAAGAAAGGAAGGGGAGAGATTGAAAGAGAGAGAGAGACAGACAGACACAGAGAGAGACAGAGACACAGAGAGAGAGAGAGACAGGGAGAGACAGAGAGACAGAAAGATATTAAATTTTATTTTTTGGTCTCAGCAAGGCAAAATTTACTTCTGCAGAATGGTGCACCATCAGCCAGGAATCTGGCAAAGGAGCACACAAGGCAGGCAGGCTGCTCTATTTATCCAAAGGCAGAGGCCCTGCCCCTCTGCTCTGATTGGTTGAGTTCAGGTTCACAGTCTGCTCGGGATTGGATAGCTTGAATAGGGTAAACTGTATTTACATAAGGCGATTCTTTGCAATAACAGTTTATAAGTAGCTCAAAATATACCCCCACCCTCTGCTGTTTCTTTTTCTTTTTAATTTAAAGCAATGAGTACATTTCTTGTTACCTCCTCCCTCGTTTTTCTTCCACTCCCCCCCCCACAGTCCCACTCCCATCCCTCCCCCAGTTGTAAAGTTCATTTCCAACATAGTTTTGTAAGTATCACTGTTGCATTGGTTCACCCTTTGTCCTTTGTCTCCATTTCTTGAAAAGAAACCGGCTGAAGAAAGCTTACATTGCAAAAATTCTTTCTTATCTAAATTTACCTTCCTGAAGAGAACCAAATGTGCAGTGTCTGGCCCTCCTACCTTCCAGAGGTCCAACAATAATCTCCCTAGAATAAGTATGTTAGGGATGAAATGCTCATGAGACCAGGTTCCATGCCTGGCTTCTGAGGAACAGGGTCTGGACAGGATTAACACAGACAGCCTGTCTGGGCATCACTTCGATCTGGTACCACCTATAATTCCAACTTTTCCATGCACTGTTATTTATTTATTTATTTTGCCAGTCCTGGGGCTTGAACTCAGGGCCTGGGCACTGTCCCTGAGCTTCTTTTGCACAAGGCTAGTACTCTACCACTTGAGTCACTACACCACTTCTGGCTTTTTCTGCTTATGTAGTACTGAGGAATCGAGTCCAGGGCTTCGTGCATGCTAGGCAACCATTTTAACACTAAGCCACATTCCCAGCCCCTTTATTGTGTGTGTGTGTGTTGTGTGTGTGCAAGCATGCACACGCACACCAGTGCTGGAGCTTGAACTCAGGGTCTAGGCGTTGTCCCATAGTTTTGTAACTCCAGGCTGGCACTCTAGCACTTCATGTACAGCTCTACTTCTGGCTTTTTTTTTTTTTTTTAAATTGGGGCTAAGAGTCCCTTGTGGATGTTCCTTCCCAGGCTGCCTTTGAACTTTGATCCTCTTATCTCAGTCTCCTGATTAGCTGGGATTAAAGGCATTAGCCAACAGTGCCTGGCCTCAGGCCTTTTATTTAGTATATTTTTACATGGATGAATGTTATGAAAAATAGAACTGTTAAGTGGAAATCAAAATGGCCCTTTTGTTTATTTTTGGTAGCTTGTATTCAGATTTGAGATGTTAAAATATTTGGAACTCATATAAAATGTATTTTTCTATTGGATCACTCAGATTCAGAACATTTGATATCAGAAATTATAAAAATAAGAGACTTCTAGTAACATCATATGCAATTGGCTGACCGTGGGATTCACATTCAGTTTTGAAGATCAGCAGAATGGAATAAAACGAAACACATTTAAATTTAATTTACCCCAAACCTTGCCCAAACCTCCGTCTTTGTGTCTCTGTCTGACTTTTGTCTTTGTCTTTTATTCTTTATTCCTCTCCCTTTCTTCAATCTTCCTTTTTCTCTCCCTCTCCTAACCTCCCTCCATCCCTTCTTTCTTCTCTAAACACTTATTCTAGTTCTGAGAAGTACTTTTTCAGAGTAGGAACTCTGTGTGTGTGTGTGTGTGTGTGTGTTTGTGTGTGTGTGTGTAATGATTGTGCTCCTTCCCCCACCCCCCCCTTCTCTTATATGATTAATTCTGCAGGCTGAAGATAGAAAAATAACCATCTCAGATCACTTTCTCTTCCTCTCGGTCGCTTTCATTCATCAATGTGGAAAATCTCCAAATATTTATTGGGGTGAAGCGGTCCCCCCCCCCCGCGCGTCCCGGGCACGTCCTCGGAGCTCGTATTTTAGGACCTCGTGCGAGGCACCGCGTTGAGAACCTCTCCGTGTCCTCTCCCTATTTATAGACAGATCCGATCCCTCTTTCTTTTCAAGTGCCGGCATTCCAGCTGCAAAAGCCAAAGAAACGGTGCTCGCCCTTCCTTGCCCTGGCCACCACCCCTCCCTCTCCAAACCCATCTTGACCCAAAATGGGGACTTGGGCTCGGGTGTGACTGCGCTCGCCTTCCCCCCCCCCCCCCCGGCGTGGTGGGCTGAGCTAAGAGTGACGCCGGAGTGGGCCGAGTCCCGGACGCGGGGAGTGCCCCCGACGCCCGGCCCCGCGCCGTCTTAGCCGCGCGATTTCACCGCCGCGGAGCGCGCGCTGGGCACTCTCGGTGCGCCCCGGTCCCGCGTGGCTGCCCTGCGTGCCAGCCAGGGGGTGGGGGGTAGGGCTCAGCCTCCACCGCAGCCAGGCTTCCCGAGACCCCTCCCCGGGGGAGCACCATGGGCACCGGGGATTTTATTTGCATTTCCATGACTGGAGGGGCGCCCTGGGGCTTCCGGCTCCAGGGGGGCAAGGAACAGAAGCAGCCTCTACAAGTTGCTAAGGTAAGGACCAGAAAGAGGGGTGAGCATCGCCTGGAGCTGGGCGGACGGGCAGAACCCCGACCTGCTGCTGGCTTCCCAAATATGCCAATCCATGGATTCATTTGCTTTGAGTGCCACAGACTGAGTTTATTTAGGATGTGGGTTAGCTGTGCAGAAACATGTTGGGTGGGGGGGATGGGATGGGTGGGAGAGGGGGTGATATATATATATATATATTTTTTTTTTAGCTGGAGAAGGCCCTTTATCATCTTCCATGAGCCCGCCGGACTCTGGGAAGTATCTTGCAGGCACTATTAGAATATTCCCTTGAGTTCTTGCTGTGTCACTTTTTTTTGGGGGGGGGGGCACTCCGTTCAGTATAACTTAGATATTTTGAGGCCTCCAATAAAAGTGCTGGTAAGGGACATTGCTTATCCTGCATGCGCGAAAAGGCCAATTTTGGGCAACGACTTTTAAAAGTATGATGAAATGTCATAAAGTCTATTTAAAAGAATGGCCTTTCAAAGAATAATAGCCTTTTAAGGATTTGAAGGGGAAATGCAAAAAGCCAAGCAACTGTGTGTCTCCATTCTGTGTATCACAAGCTCCACGTTAAGTCACAGACACCGGGGCTAGCTCCCTCATGCACTGAACAACTGAAATGTTTTATCATTTCTCTGCTCAGTGCACTATCTATAGGCCTAAGATGACTTGCTGTTTTCTAATTGGCATTCAGCTACAATACATTTTAAAAGATATGCAAATATGCAAACGGTTACCTGCTTTTAGAATAAATGGGAGCAATGTGTGAAAGACTTTTGGAGGGACAGCATAAGAGATTAACATCCTTTTTTTTTAAAAAAAAACTTATATTAGCAATGAATCAGATCTTGATGTGGGTCACTGACTTTATAGCTGTTCTTTCTCTTTGGCTTTTACTTAGAAGTAAAAGAAAAGTTTCTCAGGCATCCATCAGAGAACCTTTGATATGTGCTGGTAGAAGCTTGCCACCTAGTGGACATCAAGAATGAAAGGGGATAGAGAAAGGGAAAGCAGGGGGTTTGAGCCAGAAAGTTTTGCAGAGATCTTTAGTTCTATCACTAATTTTAGATGAGGGTGAAAAAGAAGAAAAAAGCCCAAGAGGTCAAGAGACTCGTAGTCTTCTATTTGGAACTGGCAGAGCAATGAAAGGATCAAAAAGGTGGCCTCTCTGGATTTTTTTTTTTTAGGGACTCCATAGCAAGCCACTTGAGATAAAATGTGAAAGCCGAATTCATTATTAAGAGAAGTCAGAGACTGAAGCAGACTTAGTTCTGAGTCTAGAATAGCAGTTGGTTGGCTGGCTTCAGTTACTGAGATTTGGGTTCTAATTCCAGCTCTGATCTAACTTGCTGCCTGGCTGTAGGCAAATCTCAGATCTTGTCTCAGCTCCTGCTGCTAGCTGCTGCTACTGTGTGCGTACGTGT